TATCTATAGAGTGCATTTTCTCATGTGATATCCATAGAGGCCGAGTGGTCGTAAATGCTCACTCTTTACGATCACTGCCATCTCACCTCTTTCTATGTAGATTCTAGTCTTGTCTGAGCCAGTGTGGGCTCTATAGAAAAATGGTTCTTGCCATTGTTTTCCTGGGCTTTTCGTCCACCAGTTATACTGGCTGCCATGTATAATAGTGTCTTATGGTGAGAAAGTTATCAAGCACCACAACAACATCCATCTCTCTTGAGATCTCTTCAAGCACATTTTTTACTCATTAAGTATATAACTCGCGAAAACCTACGTGTTTGAGCAATTTTCTTTTCTTGAAAAATTGGGGTGTGGCTTGAATGAGCCATCAATTTGTTCTTGTGCCGCTTGTGTCTCATGGGATGCCTCCACTTCGTCTGAAGATATTCTTTCTACAAATGTGAAAACTGCTGGAAGCATTAGCACCATCATGCTGAAATGACAAAACAAAATGTTTCATATTAGACAAGTGGATTAATGTCTCACAGGCAGTTACTTAGCTCACGTTTGGAATGATTTGTAGCAATTGTTTATGCACTAATTCTAGATCAATGATTTAAGACTAAATACTAAAAAGTGTAGATGATGCCACAACCAATTGTGATAATATCTAACATGCCAATCAAATAATACAGATGAAGTATGTGCATGATCAGTACAATTGCAGAATTTCCATTTCCTCTGTTAAACCGGAATGCATGTTACAATAATTTTAAAAAATTCTTTATGCATAAAAGGATGTGTTGATAACAGTCATATTGAAATATTGTGTAGGTTCCTTTCATTTTATCATCAAGTATTAAAATTCATACTTTGCAATATTCTCAATTATTAATGACTCTACTGTTTTCAGTGTGCCGTTTTCAATATGTTGTAATAATGGCTACTGTTTGCAGTGTGTTGTACCAATGACTATCTTATCTAGTGTTTCCCGTGTGTTGTATTAATGAATATCTACTGTTTTCAGTGTATTGAATTAATCACTATCTATTGTTCTCAGTGAAATATATTTTATTTTTTGTTGATTGAACAGACAATATTCATTTACATAACTTGTGACTTTGATATGTAGTTAAAGGTGTGTGTTCAAAAACTTCACATGCAAGTAAACAATTTGTTGATTTGTCTAATACTTTTTTTCACATCAGACATTGAATTTTGTCTTTTTACTTTCGTTTGATTGCAGAACTTGAGACTTGCCAACCCTGAAGAGTGCGTTTCAGTACGGCAGTTGATTTGGTTTTCATGAGTTAACCAGTTTTCAGTAATGTGTAACAAAATATCATAAAACTTCTATTGTAAAAACGTAATTGAAAGTTTGGTATTCGAAATATGCAGCGACAATAAATATGCTGTTGGAAAAGTAGGCGTAGCCTTTATTTACCACTAGTACAATTGCACTAACGTTAGTGTTCCAAACCCTACGCAGATCAATGACTTGTTGATCTCTTAACCGAACGTTAATTCTTAAAAATCTATTTCACATGATGACTGCAATCATATCTCCCGCTACTAAACATTCTCATTAGCACGCCGATGTCCAATGCACGTAACTATGTTCCTTCCAGGTTCATTCACAAGGATCTGAATATTCCTTTTTATTCTTCTGTGCAGACTATTTACACTTTTCAAAAGGCGTTTTTTTCTCTCTCTTCGTCTTAAACGGACAACACAAAAGGGATCAGGCCTCAGTTTCTGTTCAGTACCCACGAATGTAGTCCCAATCTCTTTTTCAAGTTTCCGTTTGGTGGTGAAACAAAGAGTTAGATTTAGGCAATCTTGGTACGGATTTAAAGGCAATTGTTTATTCTTTAGACTATGAGCTTATTGTGTGTTATGTTTTTTGGCGACAGTGTATATTGAGTAATAAGGTCTTGGTGATGATCCGAAGTGAAATATGTGCTCCATTGCAGGTTTGTTTGTTGACATTCAAGCCTTTCCAAAACATGCTGGTGAACTTTTCACAAGAACATTACCATTAAGTCATCTGTGAGGGTATTTTAGATTAACATTATTTGTATTGCTAGTTACACGGGGTAAAATTCAGTACAGAGAAACAAATGTAGAGAATGTATAGTAAAATTGTGTTCCAAAAAATGTATACTCATGAACAAACAGGTGCAGTTTAAAGCGCACGAGGTGCTACTGTAATGTTAGTCTGGTTCCCTGATTAATTTCACTAATTCTAATATGAATCCCGGATTAAATCAAACACTGATGATTTTTCTGCAATGATTATTTTCCCGTGGTGTTTGCTTTTATGGTTGCGCTCTACAGTTTCGTATTTAGAGTAGTGATAATTTTAAAGAAAAAGAATTTCCCCGGGTTTCCTCACTAGTTATACTGGCTATTTAAAAAAGACAGTAAATCTTAGGTATCGTTCAAAGAACCTTTAGTTCCCTTTATTTTGGTGTATGATTGATGAGTAATACGGGTTATAGAATATACAGCTTGGCCTTACTCCAGATGTGCATCTTTCAAAAAAAGTGATAGCTCTACTTTTGTTTTCACTTTTCGAAATTCAGAGGTAAATTGTAAAAAAAGCCAATAACTTGTTTTACATTTATGTATTTATTAATTTTTTCGTTGCACTTTTAGAAGCTGGTATTGTCTAGTTTGGCAAAATTAATTTTCCCCCATTTTAATAGCTGCCAAGAAAAGTTCTTTAGAAAAATTCTGGTTGACTTTTGGAGCACAAGGCAGCAGGCATTTTAGTTAGCAGTGTGCTATGATCATTTAAAATGTCCAAAAGTACAATATCCAAAGAAATTTCAGCCACATTACATAAAAGTAGCATATAGGCAGGCCAACATTCCTTCCACTGTGCATGTTTAAAATGCAAACTTCACTTTACATACATCACTCTCTTAAAAGTACATAACTGGTGAGTGCTACCTATACCGTAAGTCCGTATTTTAAGGGTTGTGTTCGTAAGGGTTGGCAGGTCTGAATTTTTTAATATTAGTTGTCCTTTTACACAATGCATGTAATGTATTGTTATGTTTATCAATTGTGCATAATCTGTAGGCACTAGATATTTCATTTGAATGTTAAATTTTCAAATATGATCTTTTAGTTTTCAAGTGTTATTAACGACATGTACACTAATTTTAAAAAGCTGCATCTATTCCCTTGTGTGTTCATTTAGCATAAAACTAAAAAAAGTTTTAAATATGTGACCGAAATTTAAATTCAGTATACACAGGGCAGTAGCACTATGCATGATCAAAAGACCCAATGAATTTATCATAGAAATAACGATGGTTCTATATAATGTTTTCAGTGGTATATCTTTTCTTTTATCACATACAAAACGGCGCAAGTGAAATGGCTGAGGTTGCTGCTATGAGGAATGAAAAGATCAATTTCAATTAAAAAAACATACCATTCTAATGTCCCGGTTGAGACCTGTATCACATGATTTGACTTCCGAATTGGAGGCATTGTCGTGTTTGTTTATTCAGCAGGGGAAAATATTTCTGGAAAATAAAAATGCATTAGTATACAATATGAAAAGATATTGGATTGCCATGCTTTACTGAAACGTGGCATTGAATCTTGATAGAATGGTTTTCATCACTATTTTGACTGATCAGCAGTCAAGACATGATTTTGATTTTAATGCTGGCTTTGTCACCGTGTAAATTCATGAACTAGCTGTGTGTTTGTGTGTGTAGATGCACGTGCGAAGTTGTATGTGTATGTATTGGATGGGTCTAATGTCTGGTTGAAATATGAACGTTGAAACGTATTTGGAAATTAGGGTCCATATTTAAATACTGTAAGATACATTCATAATGTTAGTTATATAGTTAAATATTTATTAGTAATATGACATTTTATTTTCTTACTGCTATCAGTAAATGAATCATCTAAGGCACTATGATGTACTCCATATATTATAACATGCAATAAGGTAACTCTAGGAACAAATGGTTTTTACCTTTCTAGAATCTCCAAATGAAGGGCCTCTGAATTGCTTTTCCTTGCTAGCAGAAGTCCCATTTTCTCTTTAACTGAAATAAAGGTTGAATATCTAGTTTACAAATTTTCAGCATTCGTAAAGAATTTCTGGTTAGTCACATATTGAAGTATTCTAGCGGTTCCTTCCATTTTATCAATAAGCATTAAATATCATTTATAATTTACGTATTGGCTCGTAAAATCTAACAAAAGGAATGTGAATATACATGTTTTTACGTAGACATACGAACAAACAACATCTAGCACAAAAATCTAAGTTGTTAAAATAGGCTACGACTCTGACAGCGACTATGAACGTCTTACAAAATACCTCAGCATATAAACAAAGCTAATAATTCGCTTAAACTGCACGCGCATGAAGGACACGTGCGATTTCACAATACATTTGGAATTTAGGAAAGCCTGACCAAGTATCAGCGAATCGTTTTCATTATCTATTTCTGAATATTTATTTGAAATGAATTTGCTGCAATCATACACAGCACGTGCTCACACGAATAACATTTACGACTCAGTCAACACGATGTTTTTAACAATCTTATTAGACTGATGCTAATATATTATCTTATTAGACTGATGCTAATATATTTTTATTATTAATTGCATTTAATGAAATAAGAATGAAATAAAAAGATCTATACAAAATTCATTCCTTAACACGCACACACACACGCACACACAATTAAACTACAGAGTCGCAACAACATTCTAAATTTACATGCCTATTTAAATTCTTACCTTTAATTTTGATGATTTTAATTTTAACAATCCCAAAATTAAGGCATTATTAAATATCTCAAATATCCAAATGTCTGCCAATTCTGTGCGTAGTTTAATTCTGCGCAACGAGACGTCATTTCCGTAAACATATGATCTTGTGTTATTTTACTTCAAGAATCCATTTTGTATCAAGAAAGAACGACCGTACTTTAATTGCGAAAAGTGATATTCATAAAGTGTACAGAAATATACCTAACGCTCCGTTGGCCTAGTGGTTAGATCGTCCCCCTCAGATAGGAGAGGTCGCGGGTTCGATCCCCGGTTGAGTCATACCAAAAACTTACAAAAATGGTAATAACAGATGCCTCGCTTAAGCGTTAAGAGGTTAACGGTTGAACTGGTCGGCATGCATACATACATACATACATACATACATACATACTACAGGATCTAAAAGATAACACACGAGTCTCTAATAAAACCTGAATCAGTAAAATAAATAAAAAAATATAAAAAAATCAGATCAATAGTCATAAACATAATTATATTGTTATATTGGATATGCAATTTATCAATTTAAAATATATTGTATATAGTGCATTGGTATAATTCCATTATGATACAAAGTATCCTAAAAGGTTTTTTTGCGTCTATTCATTTCTCAAAGCACAATATCTACTGACATTAAAGAAAAATCGAGTACAAAGTGATTATTGGTATTAAAATCTTTTGAAATATTAGAGGAAAACTAAGATCTCCATAACTTTATTTTAAATAAAAGCGATGAGTATTTGTTCTCTTAGAAAATTTTTGGAGTGTTTGTCCAACATATTGTACGTTACATTTTTTACAGGTTGACAAGTAAATCACATCACTTGATACGCAGTTAGTGTCATAAATTAGATAAAATAACTTTTTTTTTGTTTTAGCGCTACTGAAATAAATATTTTCTTATGTTTGATTATTGTGAGCACTGGTGTCTATTACATTTAGATGGACTAAACATAATTCTGCTCTCTTCGCAAATACTCGACCGGCCGGTTTATATGGAACAAATTTGATTTTGCCTGGTCGAATTCCTCCATCCTGCCATTTGGGCCCCGCGCGTTAGTAATTTTTAAAAAGATATATAAAGAACGCAATTTAAAGCGATGGAAGAAAATTTTCATTTTGTGTCATGCAAAACATGTTTAAAAGTTTTTTTCAAAATGTTGTGCTGACAAGGTGGGGGGGGCACCAAAATGATCCAACTCGCACACAGTGTGTGCTAAGGTCGATTTTTGCTTCTACCTCCTACATGCGGAGTCGAAGCTCTAGCCACTAGGCCACGGGAGTGGTTGCGCTGCTTATAGACCATTTCACGGTTATTATCTCTCCTTGAAAACACCAGAAGGCGCCTTAACTCTTTTCCGGATAGTTCAATCAATAAAGATGGCAGATGTAGATCAAGAAAATGTGACAGACCGTTCACATTCCGCAAGCAAGTTCGATATATCAATATCTTAAAAAGAAATTCTATAAATATTTGATCAATTGTTTTTCAGCCTTTAATTTTTCAATAACTTGCGCTGTTGCCAGATTTCAAATAAATGTTCTCTGCCCATTTCAAAACTTCATTATCTTTCCATTACTACCTCATGCACTAGTTTGTATTATTTAATTGTGCGATGTGTATCGCTGCTTAAGATGATATTTACTGCAATTTATCTCGCTTTAAGAATAATGAAAATATTTAACTACAGCTTTAATCATTGCAGTTAACGACTGTTTAACGACAACAAGAAACATTTTTGACTTCTTAAAGGAGTCCATAATTTTCTTTTCTTTTTATGTATGTAACTCTCTACAAATTTTAATTCGTCTGCAATGTTTATAAAATACATATCTTAGGCAGGTAGTGATTATATTGCGCAGAAAATACCGCGATTCTGTAAATTGCCAATAGTAATATAGTAAAAAAATATTTAAAAAATAAAATTGTCACCAATTAGCTTAAATCCAGTCAATGATCACTGTGAATGCTGTGTAATTTTCTCTGCAATCAAAATCGCATCTTTATTTTCACCAATGAAACTCGTTCAGTCAACACCTGACATTTCTCTACGGTATATGTAAAGTTTTATTACCGTGATTAAATTAAAAGAAGGAATAAAACAATAATTATATGCAGTATATATGTACATATATATAGATAGATAGATAGATAGATAGATAGATAGATAGATAGATAGATAGATAGATAGATAGATAGATAGATAGATAGATAGATAGATAGATAGATAGATAGATAGATAGATAGATAGATAGATGCTGTTGCGCTTTTATTAATGTATTTATTATAGTATTTATGAAATAACTTGAGCTACATCTAGGATGGATATATTTTTTTTTCAAAATGTACAAATGTTATCCACGGTTGAATCGACAGGCGCACGTATGAGTCTCTTTGTTGATGATTTTAATTTTATTTCCTTGAACGGTTGGAATTTTTAGAGTATATTATTTGGATAAATATTGATAATATATACACTATGAATGTATATGACATTTGTAGCTCTCACTTATCTGCCTGTTTGTCTATACGTTTGTCCGTCTGTCTCATTTCATTTGGTGCATTGGTATGTATATATATGCATATGCTTGAATGATTGTGTTCACATACGTTGTTGTTGTTGTGGTTCTTGTTGTTTTTGTTGTTGTTTTGGGCTTTAACGCCATTTTTCAGCCCAAGATAGGCTTTACATGGCGGCCAGTATTAACGGTGGAGAAAGAAACATGGAAAATCGCAGAAAGAACCACCGACCCACGAGAAGCTTCTGGCAAGCTTTCTCACATATCCACATTCACCGAATCTTAGACTCGAAGACACGCAGAAAGTGTTGAGATGGCAGTGATCCGTAACGGAGAGCGCTTTAGACCACTAAGCCACTCGGGGCTGCGTTCCCATACGTATATTATTACCTAAACATACTTCTGGTTAAAAACGAGCATAAGATGGTGCTAAGATAGAAAGAGTGGCTGATAGATAGAGACAACAAAGATAAATATTTGTGACTATAAATTTATTATTGACTTGAAGAGCATGTTCTTGCAAACAGTCTCTTTTTAAAATCATCCTGTCTGCAATTTTACATCCTGCCAAATGGATCAATATTGATTTAAAAGGCGAACCAAAGTAATACGACGATATCTCTGAAATAATTTGATCTTTTAAACTTACATAGTTGATGCATGGAAAGTCAAATAGAATTAAACCAAATTTAAGAAAGCTGTTTTAGATGAATTTGTTGGTGGCAATCAGAAATGTTGTCTAAAGACTCCAGCAAATTTGAGAGTTATTACAACGTGTCAGCATAGGCAAACAAAAATCAGGATGAAAGTTATTTCATAACGAATGATGATTTATGTATCAAATTTTGAAGAAAAAAAAACAGCGAGAAATGTAAATAATTAAATATTAGTTTGAATGAATGCATGGCACTTTTTAACTGAAGAAGGCAAGAAAAAAATACGTGCATGAGGAAATACTTTTTTTGATTGCTTAAAGATATGAGAACCCTTCCCACCACCACCACAAAAAAGAAAATGACACAAAAACGTCATTGAGCATGTTAATTAATATGAATATTGTACGATATTTACACCCAAATATGAATAAATATTCCATTTTCATTAATTACATTCCTTTATCTTTAAAAGAGCTATTGTAATTATTGCTTTATTGGTTTCTCTGAAAACATTAATATGCTGTGTTCCATTTCTTGAAACAATTATGGTCTAAAATATTCAACATTACCGATCACAGCTGACGTATCGAACATGTGTTATATTTTTCTTATCGAACTCGTGTTATAGCTTTCTTAGTTACAGTTATAACCGAACTATTAGCCTTGAGAAAAAAAACTGAGAAAGAAGGACATCTCAACATATGAAAAATATAAATTATAAAGATGATTTTTTGTAAAGTTATACAGCAAACAATGTGCAATAAATGTTTAAAATCTGAGAGCAATATGAAATGTATCTGAAATTATGGATTATGAATCTATATTATCTGGTTTAATATAAATATGGACAGAATATTAAAATTATTTGATATCATTTAGGCATTGGCAGTGAATATTATTAAATTATCGGATGCAATGAAAGTATTGAAACAGAATCTAATTATCTGATGTAATGTAAATTATTATTTTCCTAGTATGAACAAAATATGTTTGACAGATATAATTTATTCATTGGTTTAACCATAATGATCTTTAATACAGCTAAGATTCTGAACTATCCGGAACTGGAAATTTTTCTGGGTATACGCATTGGAGCTAAGGAAAGTAATTTTAAGCGCTACGACCATTCAACAACCTTTGTTGTAAGTGACTTCATTGGCAAACCAATATTTTCCACCGCCTCAGCTTCAAATCGGTTTCAGTTTTTATTCGTACAGCGAAAAGATCAGACGTGTTTATCTGTACCTGTCCAGTAGTCACTTTACAAACAATAAAACTAATACACAACTCGTGGAAATTTCTGCCTTATTGCGAATTACATCACAGCATATTTGGTTTTTGACAGAATAATTTTATGAGGCTATGTCAGCAATTAATTTGTGATATTTTACAAAAAGTCGTTTTTATAGAAGCAATTGTTTCAATGAGATGTGCGTTTTTTTTGAAATTTGCTAAGGAAAATATTCTATATAAATGTAAGAGACGTAGTATTTGCAAAAGCATGAATTACAGACTCTCTCTCTCTCTCTCTCTCTCTCTCTCTCTCTCTCTCTCTCTCTCTCTCTCTCTCTCTCTCTCTCTCTCTCTCTCTCTCTCTCTCTCTCTCTCTCTCTCTTATATTGATTGAAATCAGATGGCATCTGTTCCAATTTGAAGTTATCGCGAACTTCGTTTACCATGTTTGTTTTTTTTCTCAAGACTTCCACCCTTAAAATTAGAGAACGATTTTTTCTTCTACCAGTAAATTGTTGGATGAAATAAAATTTTGAGTTGACTAGTCACATGACTGCGCTAAACTACCTACGTCATTATTATCCAGCACAAAGTCTCAAATGAAGTCACGTGCTTCATGCCTAAGTATACGCGCGCAAATAATAACTGGCAGGGATTTACACGACCAAAATTGATTCTCGTACACTCTTTAGAGACTTATTTTGCCGTAAGCTATTCATGAAATATTCTCAGGTATGGTGAAAACAGTCCTGTTTCAATTAACTAACACTACCTGAGGACAACGACAACATATACGAATATATATATATATATATATATATATATATATATATATATATATATATATATATATATATATATATATATATA